ACAGTCTCCAGGAGAGACCCCACAAAGCATGCGGGATATTCCTCCCACCTCTTCAGCCCTTGGGACTGCAGGGAGGTGGGCACTCAGCAAGTCACACAGCCCACCCAGACATTCCTTTGGGAGGCTGGGGACATCCCCTGCTAGACCTGAGGTGGAGGACATGAGGATTCCTGCTAGTCCAAAACCAGCCTGGCCTCCACCCGACCCCGCTCTCACCTGCTTGCAGTCTGAGGCCATGAGGTTGAGGCTGCTGGTGGAGATGGTCAGGGTGATGGGCATGCCAGCGAACTTCAAGTTGCTCTTGCCCAGGATGGAGTTCAGGGAGCGACCACAGGGCTGGGGGCAAAAGGCAGGGTGGGAAAGGGCTCCCCAGGCCACACACAGCCCAGGGGGCAGGGGGACAGGTCACATCCCACTGCCCCCACAGCAGAGATGGGCACCTTGTCCTTACCACTGGCCCTGGCCTGAGCCACAGTAGGAGCTCAGAGCCCCAGGCTGACAGCACAGCCAGCCAGGCTGGAACCTGATCCTCTGCCCCATGCCCAGCCAACCATGCACATTCCCCCAGCAGCTCCCCAGCCTGGCCTCACCTTCCTCCTCCTCACGGCTCCCTTGGCACCGGGCACAGCCTCACACACCAGCCCAATGGCCTCCCTGCATGGAGCACAGAGAGATGTCAGTCCCCCAGTGCCTGGCCCACCCAAAGACCCCCCAACCACAGGACTGAGGACATGGGAACCAGCACAGGAGTGACAGGGTGACGAAGTGGAAGCCCCCCGGCAGTGCCGGCTGGGGAAAGCGCACTGGTGTTAGTGTTTGATGGGCTGCAGCAGCCTTACCCCCACTGAAAGCCCCACATGCCACCAGGGGCTTGCGTGGGACTCAGACAGCCCCCCTGACCCCTCCTCAAAAGCAGCAGCCCCTGGGGAGAGGCAGAGCTCACCTGGTGACCTGTGTCCTGGTGTTGAAATCCAGAGCCCTCATGGACTGGAGCACTTCCACACAACCCATGTACTGGGCAAGAGAGCAAGGTGAGTTGGGCCAGCCACAGGGTTCACCCCCCCATGCTGCCAGGGAGGGGGCTGGGGCCTCAAGCACCCCATCTCCCCAGTGGTGACCTCCCTGGGAATCCCACTGCCCACGTGCCCCACCCTGCTGCCCTCCCTCCCCACGCCTCCAAGGAGCATGCCAGGAGGTCCTCAAATTCCCACGGTGACCCTTCCCAGTCTGACCCCGTCCCCAGCACTCACCCGGACATGGTAGGAGACCCCGGGGCCCATGACCTTGTCATCAGGGTGCAGCCAGCCACGGGTGGGCTTATTGACAAAGCTGCCGTGGCGGGTCCATTCGTCACCCCCCAGCTGGCCGCCTTCCACCCGCGTCTTCTTCCCACAGCTCAGCTTGTTCATATCCTGGGAACAGACAGCGACAGGCCTCGCTGAGCTGGAGCTGGCAGCACCCCCTGGCACCGATGCCAGCATCCCAGGGGTCCCAGGTTCCCCTGGGCTGCTGCCAGCTGAAGAACCCCGCAAGCTGAGCAGGTTGGCAGGATTGGAGAGCTTCAGGTTGGCCATTTTGGGGAAGAAGGAGCAGAGGGTGGTAGGGCTGTCCTCTGACTCGTGTAAGAGCTCCCCAGGAGGCGCCATGGCACCAAGGGAGGAGGAAGAGGAGGAAGAGGGAGAGCCAGGCAGAGCCTCCATGTTTGCAAGGGATTCCATGGGGGAGGATGGGTCCCCTGGACTGCCCACAGCCTCCTCCAGAGAGGAGACAGACTCATTCCGCAGGTGGCTGTATTTGCTCTTTTGCAGGAGATCCATGGTAGAGAGAGATGAGGAGGGCCAGGGCCGCCCTGTCCAGAGTGGCAGCGGGGTGCAGGCAGCCAGCTGGACCTCACAGGGGCCCCATGGAGAGTCCAAGCGCCTGCAGCCTCCGGGAAGGTGCCCCCAAGCAGAAGCCTCGGCCGAGCTCCACGCCAGGTCCACGCCAGCCCGGCATGGCTGGCAGGGAGAGCGGGGTCCGCGGCGCTGGGCAGCGGGGCCAGGGGCTGCCTGGCGCAGGCACAGCCGATCGATCGTGATCGGCGTCAGCGAGGATGGGCAGATCCGCTCAGACCGAGAGCAACGCGCCTCAGCAGGGAGGAAATGGGGCCGCAGCGATGCCCCGGGGGAGCCGCTGGCACGGGGAGGAGAGTTCAGAATGCTCTGTCCCCAGCCTGCAGGTCCTCAAGCCCCTTGCCACTCCAGCACTGGGCCGGCAGCAAATCCCATTGTCTTCATCCAGGGGCAGGATCCAGCTCCCTCTGCCCTGCTTGGTCCGGCACGGCCGCCCTCCGCCCCGGCCGCTCGCTCCGGCCCCTGAGCCGCCCGCTCGCCGGCCGCTAAGAGGAAATCAAAAGCATGAATATTTAAAGCGCGGAGACAAGGCAGCCACAGAGCGCATCCAAGCCCAGCCCAGCCCCGCTCCGAGCACCATCCAGGAGGGAAGAACAAGGTCCTTCTGTGGCGGCCAGCGCCACGCAAACCCACGTGCCGGCGGCGAGCGGCCGCCGTTGGCTCGCCGGGCTCTGCCGGGGGGAGCAGCGATGCTGAGAGGACACCAGCGCTCGCAGCTGCCCGGAATGCCGGGGACATCCAGTCCTGAGAGAGCACAGATCTCGCCCAGAGGGCTGGCCGGGTGCAGGATACAGGTGGGCTGCGCGCCGGGCGAGGCAGCGTCTCAGCACGGACTGCCAGCCGTGGTGGGGAGCCGGAGGGAGAGGCTGCAGCTCATCGCTGGGAGGAGGAGAAGGGGCTGCGGCTGATCGGAAGGGCCGTGCTGACTCACGGGCGGCAGGGCAGGCTCTGCCCGCGGCGGGGGCTGCGCTGGGGCTGGGGAGCCGCGCAGGAGGGGCTCCAGGCGAGGGGTGGGGACCCAGCGCCTATCTGGAGCAGAAAAATCAAGGTCACAGGCGGAGCTAGTGGGAGCGTGCTGGGGGGCAAAAATCGGCCCCTTCAGCCATGGGGAGCCAGGCAGGGCTCCCACCTGTGGATCAGAGGGCTCAAGAGCAGGTCTTCCCTTTCCCTCATCTTTGGGGTACTCGTGTGCAGCAGGAACTCGGGTTCAGCCTGGCCGTGCTGTCCTCCACAGCCTTGGCCTCACCGAGGAATAAGAGCTCTCCCCCCTCCACCACCAGTGGGATGAGGTAGCGATTTCAGGCAGAACCAACCCCTGACACGCCATGGGCCAGAGCCTTCCCGACCACTACATGCTCTGTAAAATGGCCACTAAACTAAAACTGTGTAAATCCAGGCCAAGGGAAGGGCTCTCTTGGCTTTGGAGCCCTCGCCCAGCACTGCTCGGCACAGGCAGCTGCCCTGTCCCACTTCCCAAAGCTTGGCACTCTGCCACAGGGATAGGGAAAGGAAAAAGCCAGGATGCAGTTGGAAACCGCCTCCTGCACGATGCGAGGGGCTGTGGCTCACGACAGTGGGTCTGTCACAGGAGCATTCCTGGGCCACACACAGCTCTGCCAACCTCTGCCAGCCCCCACCTCAGCCCGGGGGTCCTGCGGGCACAGGGAGCCTGTGCTGGCCGTCCCACGCAGTGCTCATCCCCGCCAGGGGCCCCTGGCCGGCACTGTGACCTTCCTGTGGCCGGCAGCACCAGCGCTCTAAAGAAAAGCAGGAAGCCTGGGGCCAGGGAGCCAGGAAGCCGCCCGCCCTGCGAGGGGGCCAGCACAGCCCCGGTGCCAGGGGAGCCCAGCTGGGTGGTGTCAAATGGCTGCGGGGGCAGCAGGGTTTGCCCACAAGGGGATAGCCACTGGCACTGGGTGTGGGGCTGGGCTCCTGGGGCGGTCCCGGGGTGACCCACCCGGCGTGGCGGCTGCCGTGAGTGCCCGGGGCTCGCGCTCGCACCGCCCTGTGCCGTGCCACTGGGCGTGGGGCTGGGGTCACCCAGCACAGCAGCTCCGTGGGTCCTGACACTTCCCCAGGGCCCTGCTAGGATTAAGAGCAGAAGAGAACTGCTTGGGGGCAGGAGCACCTCCTTGCCCCCTTCTCACCATCCCAGGGCCTGGAGCTGCCACCCCTGCCCGGCAGCAAAGGGTTGATAAGCCCCACAAACACAGCCCCTGCTCAGACACACCTCTGCTTTTATAAGCTGAAGTAATTCCTGATCTTCTCAGGACCTTTGAAGCCAGCCTGCCCACATCACCGATGCGTTGCTGTTCCCAGCCCTTGGAGACCAGAAGTGCTGCCACCACAGTCCCTCAGCCCCAGAGCCCACCCCAGGGCAACAGAGCCCTTCCTCCCAGTGGGCTCCCAGTGCAGAAGGCAAACCTGGAGGCATGTGGAGATACAGAAAACCTGCCCCTGCCTGAGCAGGCAGCCCCAAGCCCCTTGCCAGGCAGACAGCAGGAGCTCCTGCCCCTCCAGAAGAGCAGCTGGAACAACTGTCCCCAAGGAAGCTGCTCCGTGTGCCCTGCCACCACAAAAAGACACTGGACTATGAGAAACAGAGGGATGTGGGCTACTTTCAGGCACCTGGGACTAGGACTTCCAGCCAAGGGCAAGGAAGAGAAGCAGAGAGGGGACGCTCAGGGCCCTGCTACCAACATCCTCCCAGGAAACCCAAACTGGGAGCTGAGTCAGAGACCTGGAACACGCCAGTGGTTTGGCAAGAAATCGCAGCAAGGAGCGGGGTGGCTGCACGTACAAACCTCACCTCTGGGCAGGAGACCCCACTCTGTCCAACCACAGCTAATCTCACGTCTCCAAGGCAGGGAGAAAGCAAAGGAAAACACTCAAATCCAGCCAACAGCTGATTTTTTTCCCCCAAACATCACAGCTGCAGCACACAACATGTAACCTCTCCTTCGCTCTGAGGAGGGGTTGGGAGATGCCAGTGGAGACCTGGGGAGGAGGCTGGGGCCCTCCCAGCAGGGAGAGAGGGCAGGCAGGATCCACCACCGAAGCCACCTAGTCCTCCACCGAAGTCCTTACCACGTACTCCATCGCTGGCAGAGGGCAGGGCAGGCCCCAGGCGGGGAGCAGAGACGCACAGCCCCTCTCGTCTGGCACTCCGACCTGCGGTTCGGGGACAAACAGGGAGTTAGCCAGCCCTGCCCCAGCCTGCCAGTGCAGGGGCCGTGGCACCAGGAGGCAGACCCTGCTCCTCCACGCTGCCTGCAGTCAGATGGGGCTGTGGCAGCTGTGACCACACGCTTCTGGTACACAGGACGAGAGAGCCAGGGAAGCCCACCTGCTTGCCATCGGAGGGAAGACAGAGCTGGGGTGCAGCAGGGCAGGAGTGTGAGGCTGAGCCTGGCTCTGCTGAGGCCTTGCCCACACCAGCAAACAGTGTCAGGGTCCAAGAGTCACTCTGTGACCCGAGACAAGTGTCGGAGCCGATCCCCGCCCAGCCCAAAGACCAGCGCCCAAAAGCCACACGCAAGGAGGGAGAGCAGAGGCAGCCCAAGGGGGCAGAGCTGCCCCCTCCTCCACCCCAATGCAGAATGACACACAGAAGGCTGTGCCCCTTCCTCTCAGGAGAGCAATAAAGAAGGGATTTGTGGAAAGAGGCTACAAGGGAGGAGCTGGGAGAGGCAGCAAGGTCTGTGAAGGGAAAACAAGGCAAGCAAAGCAGCAGCAGCTCCAGAGCTGCTGCTCTTCCTGCTCCCACCCCCACCACCCGGCCCAGGCCAGGACAGCCAAGCAGTCCAGGGCAGCAGACATGATTTACTGCCCAGCAGTAAATCACACCCTTATCTGGAGCCCAGGCAGGCACTGTGGCCATTTGCTCAGGAGACAGTGAGATAAGAGGGCCCTGCCTGGCACTGACAGTGGAGATCAACCCCTGCAGCACCATGTCACATCCCTCACTGCTGAGCAGAGGTGGGGACTGGGTTCTTAGGATACCAGGGGCCGAGGCTGGTGGCAGGGAAGGGGTGTCAGAGCCATTAGCCAGGGTGCTCAGCCTTGCCAAAGATCACTGGCATCCCTCCTAGGGAGGGGACACTGCTCTGAGCAGCTCCTGAGGTGGCCCATCCACAGCATTCCCCCACCAAAGGGGGGGTCCTCTTGCCCCACTGTGCTGGGAAGGGATGGCACCTTCGGCCCCTCTGCTCCAGGCCCAGCCCAGGGCGGCCTCAGGAAGCACTGCCAAGAGTTGCTCTTTGGCCAGAGGCTTCCGCCACACTAAGGTGATGAGCAGAGCCCTGGCGATCCTTCCTCAGAACCCATGTCTGGGGTCTACTCTGCGTGGATGGCCCCATCCAAGGGCTTCAAGGGGAGAGGCAGGGACAGTCTACAACAGATGGACACAACACAGCGCTGGGGAGCAAACAAAGGCCTGCGCAGAGGAACAGCCACCCTGCCCACAACAGCCCGGTCCGCTCAGGGAAGTCACCCCTGCCTTGGTCTGAGGCACAGAAGGCAGGGCGGCCGAGGAACCCTCCAAACGCAGCCGGTGCCCCCGCCCCGGAGGTCCTGCCGGTCCGGGGCTCGGGGGTCTCCCCAGGCCCCGCAGCGCCCCTGGAACTGCGTCCCTGCCGTATCCTGCACCGGCACGGCACAGGGCGGTGCGAGCGCGAGCCCCGGGCACTCACGGCAGCCGCCACGCCGGGTGGGTCACCCCGGGACCGCCCCAGGAGCCCAGCACCGGCACCGCCACCTCCGGCCCCGGTCGGGCCTCGCACAGGAAGGTCCGGGCCTGCCCCGGGCTCGGCTCGCCCGCGCCGGGAACGCGAGGCAAGCCAGGAAAGGAAGGGCGGCACAGGCAGCGGCGGCACCTCGAGCGGGTGGCGGCAGAAGGGCGGCGGCGGCGAGCGGTGCAGACTCACTCAAGTCCCGGGCGGGCACCGCGGGGCCCCGGGCCTGCAGCGGCCTCGGGGGCCCTCGCGCGGGGGGGGCCCCCTCCACCCCCGCCCCGCCCCGCCCCGCCCCAGCCCGGCCGGCGCGCGCTCACCGGGCACCATCGGCCTCGCGCGGGTCTCGCGCCGCCGCTCCCCGCCGGTGCCGCTCCCGCGCGCGCCCCCGCCCCGCGCGCGCCCCCGCCGCCACTCACTTCCGGCCCCCGCGCGCCCCCGCCCCCCCTCCCCGGCCACGTGACACCTCACCCAAGCCAATCGCGGGGCCGCGCGCCGGCCCGCGGGATGCTCCGCGCGCGCACGGACCAATGGGCTGGCTCCCCTGCCCCGCGCGGGGCGGGGCCGGCCAATGGGAGCGCGGGGCGGCGGCGTTTGAAAAGCGCCGCGGGAGGGGGGGCGGGGCAGGCACCAACGGCCGCCGGGGGGGCGAAGGGGGCCCGTCATGGCGCACAAACAGATCTACTACTCCGACAAGTACGACGATGAGGAGTTCGAGTACCGGTACGGGAAGGGCCTCCCTGGGGAGCGGGGGGTTCCGGTAACGGGCGGGTGGTAAGAAGAGGCGGGAGCTCGGTTACGGTTTCCCGCGGGAAGGGGTGAGGGGAGGGTGTCCCGGTAACGGTGCGCGGCGGGGGGAGAGGCCGGTAAAGGCTCGCTTGTGGAAGAGGGGGGGGGGATCGCCGAGGCGCTGCCCTGTGGAGCAAGAGGGAAGTTATCCCGGAGGGGCCCCATTGGGGGCTCTTTGTCGAGTCACGAAGCTGGTCCCGTTAACGGTGCCCCGGGGGGAGGAACCCCATCCTGGGAATTGGAGGCTGTGACGGTGACCGGGTCAGGGTCCCCAGGGAGTGCTGGGGTGCGGTGGCCCCAGGGTGCCCCAGGACTCACCGGGGGTCGCGGGGGCGCCGCAGGCACGTGATGCTGCCCAAGGACATCGCCAAGCTGGTGCCCAAAACCCACCTGCTGTCGGAGTCGGAGTGGCGGAACCTGGGGGTGCAGCAGAGCCAGGGCTGGGTGCACTACATGATCCACGAGCCAGGTGAGTCTCGCGGGGGGGCGGGGGGCGCCCGGGGGGCCCGGCCTGACCGCCTCTGTCCTCCCGCAGAGCCCCACATCCTGCTCTTCCGACGGCCGCGGCCCAAGAAGCCGGAGAAGTGAGCCGTCCCCGCTCTGCTGGAGCTCCCAGCCCGTTCGAGCTGAGAAAGCACCTTCCTCCTCCTCCTCCTCCTCCTCCTCCTCCTCCGCGTTCCTGGAGGGCTTCAACCCCTGGCCCTCGGTGCCGCCCGGGCACCGCTGTGGCCACTCGGCGCCGGGGTTTTTTCCTGTTGCGAGGTCTCCAAAGCTTCAATAAAGTGATGTTTTTGGGAGCTCCTGTCTGTGGGTGACGGCGAGGGGGGTCGAGGGGCTCCCGGGACCGCGGAGCCTCTTGGCGCGGGTTCCCGGGGACAGCAGAGGGTTCTCCGGGGGCTGGGGCGCTCCCGGGGCCGTGAGGGGACGGGGGGGGCGCTCCCGGTGCCCCCCGGGGCAATCCTGGGGCCGTGAGGGGATGGGGGGCGCTCCCGGTGCCCCCGCCCGCCGGGCGAGCCCATGGCCACGAGGGGGGACATCCCCATTCCCCCCCGGAGCGATGATTCCGTCCCCGCGGTCCCGCCTCCCGACCAATGGGCGCCCACAGGGCTGTGTGACGGACGGGCGGACGGGCCAATGAGCGCGCGGGGAGGAGCCGCGGCCCGGGCGAGCGTTCGGGAGGGTCCATGTTGGGGTCGCTGCGGGGGGGAGTGCTGCGGGCGGCCGTGGCCCTGCGCGCCGCAGCCTCCCGTTCCATGGCGGTCGAGGGGCCGGCCCGGGGCTCCCCCAGCACCGCCGGCATCATCGTCATCGGCGACGAGATCCTCAAGGTGCTGCTCGGGGCAGGCCAGGGGGATGGGGCGGCGGGCCGGACTCTATGCTCGGGACTGGGGGGCCATCACGGTTGTCTCCGTCCCCGCCTTTTAGGGCCACACTCAGGACACGAACTCCTTCTTCATGTGCCGGCGGCTGCGCGCCCTGGGCGTGAGGGTGGCCCGCATCTCGGTGGTGCCCGACGAGGTGGAGGCCATCGCCAGCGAGGTGGCCGCCTTCGCCACCCGCTTCACCTTCGTGCTCACCTCGGGCGGCATCGGCCCCACGCACGACGACGTGACCTTCGAGGCCGTGGCCAAGGCCTTCGGGGAGAAGGTCGTGCCCCACCCCGAGCTGGTGGCCTTGGTGCACAAGTTCTTTGGCAGGACGGAGGCGCAGTGCCCCGAGATGAAGCTGGCCCGCGTCCCCGAGTCCTCGCGCCTCAACTACGGTAAGGACGGGCGCGGCGGCGCCTTCGAGTACCCGCTGGTCAGCGTGCGCAACGTGTACATCTTCCCGGGCATCCCGGCGCTGATGGAGCGCGCCCTGGACGGCCTCGCCCACCTGTTCCAAAGCGAGCGGACCCGATTCCACTCCCGCGCCGTCTACGTGGCGGCCGACGAGCTCCTGATCGCGCCCGTGCTGGACCGGGCCCACGCCGCCTTCCAGGGCCGCGTCAGCCTGGGTTCCTACCCGGACTGGGCCAGCAACTACTACCGCGTGAAGCTGACGCTGGACTCCGAGTCGGAGCAGGACCTGGAGGAGGCGTACGGCTTCCTGATGAGGCAGCTGCCGCCGGGCGTTGCTGTGCCGCTGGTGACGGACTGCGTGTCCCGGGCAGCTGCAGAGGTTTATGGCCTGGCAGAGTCAGGTACCTGTGCCTCCACACTTCTCCCGTGCGGCCCAGGAGGGCTGGGGCAGTGGGAACGCTGGCCTGGGAGCAGAGCTAGCCTGTTGTGGTGTGCTGGGGGGCTCACTGGGGGGTACTGAGGCTTTGCTGGTTCTGCATTGTCCCACACAGGTGGGAGTGGGACCTGTAACCCCAGGTAGGGCCAGCGGTGGCAGAGTGGGAGAGCGCAAAGTGCAGTAGCAGTGCTGCAGTTCCCCAGGCCCTCATGATCCCTGTCCCATCGTGGCACAGACCTCTGGGTTGCACAAGCTCTGCTGTGGTGCCAGCAGTGGCTCCACTGTGTGTTGGGACACAAGACATCCACAGGCTCTGGGGCTGTGCCGAGGCAGCATAACCTGGGCAGGCACCAACCATCCCATCCCAGCAGGCTCGGCCCTCGGGCAGAAGGTGGCAGCAGCCCTGCAGACCATTGAGGAGGCTTTGGACCGGTACAGCCTGGCCCAGCTCTGTGTGGGCTTCAACGGGGGCAAGGACTGCACGGCCCTGCTGCACCTCGTCCACGCTGCTGTCCAGAGGTACTTGCCCACAGGGCTCCAGCCTGGGGCAGGGCTGGGGGGTCCCCCTCACCCCAACCAGGGCTCTGGGGCTCTCACTTGCCCCACTCTGGGGGAATGAGTGGATTCTTGGGGCCTGTCTGACGGGAACTGGACACTGCCCTACCTCTGGTTGCTGCGGGCCAGGGCCCAGCTGCGCTGGGTCTCTCCGCAGGAGGTTCCCAGCGAGGCAGGAGAAGCTGCAGGTGCTCTACATCCGCATCGTGTCCCCCTTCCCTGAAATGGAGCAGTTCATTCAGGCCACTGTCCAGAGGTAGGAGGCAGAGCAGGGTGGGCTCCAGGGCAGGGGATGTGCAGCGTTGCCTGCAGACAGTTGCCCGCCCTGCCTGCGCAGGTATGATGTCCAGCTTTGCACCGTGGAGGGCTCCATCCGGGAGGCCCTGGCGCTCCTGAAGGAGCAGCAGCCACAGCTGGAGGCCGTCCTGATGGGAACACGGCGGACAGACCCCTACTCGTGTACTCTGACCCCCATGTGCATGACAGACCCCGACTGGCCCCAGTACATGCGGGTGAACCCCTTGCTGGTATGTGGCCTCTGCCTGCTTTGGGGCTGGGACTGTCTCCATGGGGCCTGGGAGGGGTAAAGTGATGGGGCTGGGAGCTGACACTGATCCAGCCCCATCCTGGAGGGCTTCTCTCATGATTCCTGCTCTCCCCAGAGCATCTGCTGCCCCGTGGCATGGCTGTGGGTGCTTGCTGCAGCCAGGCTGCCTGGTGCTGTCAGGCAGGGCTTATTCCTGCCTGCCAGGGTGTTTCCCTTTGTATGAAGAGGCACTGGGAGGGAAAGGGGTGCTCTGAGGACCATCTGGCTCTCCTGAGTGCTCTCTAGCAGGGTCCAGATGCTTCCGTGGAGGCCTCTGCCTCAATCCCTATCCAATTCTGCCTGCAGGACTGGGCCTACCGGGACATCTGGGAGTTCCTGCGCAAGCTCTTCGTTCCCTACTGCATCCTCTACGACAAGGGGTGAGTGCCCAGCGCTGCCCTCTCTGCGGGCACAGCTAGTGCCCCTGGGCACGGCCCTGCAGCCCCCTCCTTCCTGCACAGCTACACCTCCCTGGGGAGCATGGCCAACACGCGGAAGAACCCGGCGCTGCGCTGCACCGACGCCCGGGGCCGGGAGAGCTACCGGCCTGCCTACGAGCTGGAGAACGAGGAAGAGGAGCGCACCTCCCGGCAGTGAGGGCCACGCTCTGGGAGGCTCTTCTGGAAAGCTGCCGGGAATGGCACTGAATAAAGCTGCTGCCTGTCAGCACTGAATGAACCTGCTGTGGTCTGCGCTGCGCTGGCGCGTGGCCTCTTTGGGCCCTGAGGGCCCCGCTGGGGCAGCGGCAGGAGTGGGAGGAACAAAAGGGTCCCCAGGCCGTGCCCCCCGCTCTCTGTACCCGCTGTTGTGGAGGTTTTGGAAGCACAGAGAATGTAGCAGGTTCCAGGGCTTGTCAGAGCCCTGTGTGTCAGCAGCGCCGCCTCTTCCCCTCACATCAGATCCAGCTGATCCCTCATCAGCCATGCAGCTCCTCCAGACCCCGCGGGCACGGCCACGGGCACTGGCACTGCCGGCACCCACCACCACCTCCCTGGGGCTGCGCCTGGGCTCCTGGTTGCTGCGGCTGCTGCGGGAGTGCGTCTACCTCCTTCTCTGCAGCTGGTGCATCCGGGAGCTGCTGGACTAGGGAATGCCCCCTTCCCCCCTCCAGTGCTGCAGGACGTCCAGCACCCCCTGCCCGCCCTGGCTCTGTGGGTGAGTGACCTGTCTGCAGCTGCCCACTTGATGTGGTGTTTGGGGTGTGACATGGTGCTAGTGGGCGATGGAGCCTAGTCGTGGTGCTGGGTGGGTGATGGAGCCCAGCCATGGTGCTCCTGGGGGCTAAAAGGTCATGGTCATGGTGCTTGGGGGGTGACAGGGGGCCTGGCTGTGGTGCTTCTGGGGACTGACGGGGTGCAGCCTTGGTGCTGGTCAGTGGGTCCTCACCCGCTGTGCCTCTCTGCCCTCCCCAGGACTGTGCTTGTCGCCACGTGCTGATGGAGCTGACAGACCCCCGGCGCTGGGACACTGCGCTCCCCACAGTCATAGACCCCAGTAAAGCTGAGCAGAGCCTGACTGGCTGCATCTGTTTGGGCAGAGCTCTGGGAGTGTTTGTGTGTGTGTGTCTGTCCCCAAACCTTCCAACCCTCGCCCTGGGTAGCACCAAGGCACACCAGCCCCCCCCTCGCCCCTGCCCAGGGCTGAGGGTCACCACATCCCCTGGGGCCAAGGGGAAAGAGAGGGAAGCTGGGGCTCTCCAGTACCTCCTGCTTCCCCCCCGCCCCCTCCAGCCATTTCACGTCCCAGCCCTGTGCTGCCAAGAGTCCACAGGAAGCAGCCAGAGCAAAGTGTCTCCAATGGGCCCAGCCCAGCTGGGAGCTGCATTGAAGGTCATGGCTGGTGGCATTGGGACCTGGCTGTGGGGGTGGCCGTGGGTCCCTGGGCCCACTCTGCCTGATGCTGCCTGTGCCGGTGCCTGGCTCTGGAACAGGGAAGGCTCTGCACGCCCCGTCCTCGGCGGCAGCACTGGCGCCAGTGTGGCCTCCCTTATCTCAGCGGGAAGTCGGGAGCAGGAAGCCTGGCCCGGCACGGGATAAGGGTCCCGTTTACATTAGCTCTTTTGTTGTGCAGCAGGCTCCCACCCTCACCCAGCGCCCGCAGTGGGGGGCCCTGCTTGGGGTGAGGGCTATGGGAAGGCAGGGACCCCTGCCCAAGGTGCCACGAGGGGCTTAGGTAGTCCTTACAACCCCTGTGTGGACAGGAGTGGGAGTGGGGTCTGCCAGGATGGTGCCCTGCTGCTGTGCCACATGACTTTCCCCAGATCAGCTCCTCCAGCTGGACCCTGCCCCGTGGGTGTGAACTGATGTGGTCTGTGGTGCTGTCTGGGCTCCCAGCTGTGCCCAGTTGCTTTGGTAGCACAGTGCTGGGCATCCCTGACTACTAAAGCCCATGCATCTGGTGCCTGCCCCGTCCTGGTGTGGTGGCCCTGACAGTGGTTCAGCCCCGGGGCTGGCCGGGAGGGGGGGGATCAGTGAATTCCCCAAACAGGGAGGTCCGGGGGAGGGGAGAGCATCCCGGCACAGGAAAAAGTGCAGGCAGTGACGCACGGCCGGCAGAGCAGTGCCGGCCACCCTGAGAGCACAGCCCCATGCGCCGCCCCGGAGCCTCGCACCCTCCTCCGCCACCCACCGTGAGTGAGACCCCTTCCCCCGGGGACCCCTTACCCAGCCCCGCAGGGGGGTCACAGGGGAGTGGGCAGGTGCTGTGGGCAGGGGCATGTGGACCATCAGCACAGGCAGGTTCCCCAGTAGTGGGGGGGTTGGCTTTGGAGTCATGTCTGATATGATCTCGGGGATGCCAGTACCCCTTGAAGCGGGGCCGTGCCCTTGTGGTGGGGAGGGCAGCAATGTGGGGCACAGGCAGCGGCAAACCCGGGCAAAGCAGCCTCGTGGGAGGACACAGGAGGATGCGCCAGGTCCTCACCAGGACCCCCTGCAGCCACAGCCCTCTGGCGGTGCAGGAGGTGATGCCTGTCCCTGTCCTGCAGGTCGTCCCCACCGCTGCCCCATGTTCCGCTCGCGCCGTGCGGGGCTGGTGCGGCGGCTGTGGCGGCAGCGCTGTGCAGCAACGGGCTCCGAGGACGGCCCCGGCGCCCTCAAACCGGCAGCTCATGCCCTCTTCAAGAAGCTGAAGGACGAGGAGCTAGAGCTGCTGGTGCAGGCAGTGGAGAGCCGGGGCGCTTGGGAGTCCAGCTGTGTTTGGGCACCCCGGGGGGATGCACGAGGGGCCAAGCAGGGGCTCCCCCCTCAAGTCCTGCTCTGCCGCCTCTTCCGCTGGCCCGATGTTCACCAGCCCCACGAGCTCAAGCACCTTTGTTACTGTGCTGGGCGCCGGGGTGTCTGCGGGGACTCGGCTGCACTCTGCTGCAATCCCCACCACTTCAGCCGCCTGGCTGTACCCGGTGAGTGCTGGTGGCAACACCGGAGGCCCCCTCGCCCACCCGGGCTCTCACCTCTGCTCCCTGGGGCCCGCTTAGGGCTCCAGGGGCCTCTGAGAGGGGCAGAATGCATGCCTAGCCCCTCACTCCCTTCTCCCTCCCCCACAGAGACCCCACCACCTCCCTACTCGAAGGCATCCTGTGGTCCCTCCTGGCCAGATGAGCCCCAGCACCCCAGCTCTCAGCTCCTGGAGTTCAGCCACAAAGGTGGGGACTGGCGCGGTAAGAGGGTCCCACCACACTGTGTGTGCCACACCCAGAGGACAGGAGGGCAAGACTGAACCCCTGAGTCGGGAGCAAAGATTGGAGGGGACAGAACCTGAAAACCAGGGAACGGAGCCAGTAGCCACTCCCAGCAGGAGGAAAAGGCTCCAGCATGGGATGGGGGGTTCCTGCTGGGAGAGCAGCCTGGGCCTGGCCCCCCCACTGCAGCTCCTGTTATTTTTGGCGGCGCCAGGCTCCTCGCTGGAGGAAGCACTGCCTATGGGGACACACACAATGTGCCTTGACGCACACAGCCACGGCTCCTGCCTGGCTGCTGGCCACCAGGGCTGCCAAGCTACCACCACACACACATTCTTCCCCCCGCACTCCCCACCTGTCACTAGGATCCCTGGGGACCAGGAACAGCTCCAGTGACTCCCACCCAGTGCCAGAGCCTGTGCTGAGGCATCCCTGGGGCATCAGTACACCCCTTTGTCCGCAGACCCCCTGTGCCCAGTGCCCTGGGCCCATCCAGCTGCATGGCTTGGTCACAGTGACAGCTCTGCTCTCCCCTGCCAGACACCAGCCTCTCACGGAGCACCATCAAGGACGGCTGCTGGTGCAAACTGGCTTACTGGGAGCACCGGACACGTGTGGGCCACCTCTACGCTGTGCACGAGGCATCAGTGAATGTCTTCTGTGAGATGCCATGGGGCAGCGGGTTCTGCCTGGCCCAGCTGCCGGCTGCCCACCGCAGCCGCGCCGTCCGGCGGGCGCGCGGCAAGATCGGCCGGGGGCTGCTGCTGAGCCGGGAGCTGGGCGGCATCTGGGCCTACAACCGCAGCGAGCACCCCATCTTCGTCAGCTCGCCCACCCTGAGCCCCCCCGGGGCCCGCGGGCTCACTGTCCTCAAGGTCCTGCCTGGCTACTCAGCAAAGGTGTTTGACTATGAGCAGGTGGGGGGCAGAGGGGGCTGGCGGCTCCCTGGGGAGGGGCCCTGCGACCCCCACAGCATCCGCATCAGCTTTGCCAAGGGCTGGGGACCCTGCTACTCCCGGCAGTTCATCACCTCCTGCCCGTGCTGGCTCGAGGTCCTGCTGAACCAGCTGCGCTGAGGGGCTGGGGCCAGTGGGGGGATGCCAGGGAGCTCCCCAAAAGCAGGTGCACAAGCCAGGGGGGCTCCTCCACCACCCTCTGGCCTTTGCCTTCCAGGGCTATGCTGCAGCAGGACCGTCCTGACTCCGGGGACCCTCTGCCCTAGGCCTGGGGGGGGTACAGTGCCCCCATGCCTGGCTCACCACCCTGTCAGCACCTGCTGCCCCCAACCACGGGGCTTTCGGTGACACAGGCGCTATTTAACGTATTCTCTTTTAATTTTATTATTTTAATAGTTAAATATATATTAATTTATCTATTTTTGTAAAAAAAAAGCAAGGCATGAGGCAGGACTCCCCGCTGTCCAGGCCAGGCCTCAGGGGGTTGCAGCCAGGGCAGAAGAGGTTGGGAGAAGCAAGAGAGAAGGGAGGTGGGACAGAGTGGGGGGCAGGAGGTGGGCTGTGGGCCTGGGTGTCACAGCAAGAACGGGGAAAGGAAGTGAACTGCTGGGGTGGGGTGGGGCTGTGAGTTCAGCTGGGATATGGGGCAGGTGGATGGGTGTGGGGCAAGTTAGCATAGCTGGAGCGGGGGGCAGGTGAGCACAGCTAGATGGGTGTGGAGCAGGTGAACACAGCTGGAGTGTGGGGCAGGTTAGAGAACAGCTGGATGGGTGTGCGGCAGGTGCTGGGGCAGGCGAGCACAGCTGGAGCGAATGGGGGAGCAGGTGAGCACCCCTGGGGTGGGGGGCAGTGCGGAGTCACCCAAGGTGGGGTTGCCGGGCCCGGGGGGTCCTTCGTCCGTCGTGGCAGGGCGGGGATGTCCCGGGCGAGCGCAGCCGCGGTGGTCCCGGATTTCCCATGCCGCGTCTGCTGTTTTTAACCCCAATAAACGGTGCCGCCGGCACCAAGAGACCCCCCATGACCCCACGCGTGTCGGTGCCGCCCACGGGGCTCGGCTCCGGGGACCGGCAGTGCCCTCTGCAGGCGGCCGCCGTGGGCCGCGATGACCACCCGGTCCTTCCTGCCACGCCGCCGGCCCGGCTGAGCCCGCGGCCCCCGCCCCGGCCCTGCTGTGAGAGGTGAGTGCGGCCGCGCCGTCGGGGGGAGCGGCACCGGGGGCGCCGCCGCCCGCACCGGCAGAGCGCAGCGGCCACGGCGAGCGGCGGCCCGGGAGGGCGGGAGGGGAGCGGCGGGCCGGGGGGTGGTTCTGCGGGTCGCCCCCGCCGCCCGCACGGAAGCCCCGAGTCCGGCGGGCCGGTGCCCGCGGTAGGGATGCAGGTGCACGGACGGACGGACGAAGCTGGGGGGACCGAAGCGGGCGGACGGTCGGGCGAGACGCGGCGGCAGGTGCCCGATACCGAGGCCCGGCGGGAGAGTGGGTGGGGGTCCTGCTCCCGCCGCCGCCGCCCCCCCGCCCGCTGACATAACGTCTGCGCGGGGCCGTGTTTGCCTTGGCAGCCCCGGGGCCGGCGGCGGCTCCTCACACTTTCCGCCAGTGCCGGGCAGTGGCCGCGCTCCGAGCCAGGCGCGGGGGGGTCGGGGTGAGCCGAGGTGAGCCTCGGGGCCGCCGCTGCCTCCCGGGGCCGGCAGCGGCCAAACAGGTTGCGCGGGGCCCGCGCCCAGGCACCTGCGGAGGGGCCGCCCCGGGGGGCAATTTGGGGGGCCGCGTTCGCTCCAGCGCCGCCAGGAACGGTGGGCTGCCCCCCGCGCCGCCAGCTGCCCGAATTCCCCCGGCGCCACGTTCTCCGTGTCCAGCTCTCCATCCCCCCGTGCCTGGCATT